CTCAAACTGACTAAGAGTGCTATTTTTATCTTACTGCGTTTCTTTTTTATTGTTCCAAGTGGCCTCTGTCAGTACGCATATAAAATCCAACAGTTGCACCCTGAATGCTTCAATTTGACATTCGATTCCAAAACACCTGAGTAGTTCCGTGAAATCTTTCGTTGTTTTTACTTCGACTATTCTGCCGCTTTTCATTCGGTCCGCCGTTACCTAGTCTATCAAAAGCTGGGGTCTTTTGTCTGTCCCACCTCTTTACTCTTACAGCTGAAAGACAACTTTTCCACTAGTACTCAAAGTACTAAAATTGGTGCCAGTTCATAGAATAAATTTGCTAGCCACTAAGGTATTCTGCAGGATGTCGCTACTAACTCTTATCCTTTGACCAAGTATATCAGCTGCTCGCCCATTGTACCACTTGCTCAAAGTTCTAGGTACGCGGATGACGTGGCGCTCTGCTAATCTATCTCTAATGAACCACCCTTTATCTCTTTTCTGAGAACTTATAAGGCTTTCAGAGTTTTTTGTCCCATTCTGGCCTGAATCTCAAATCTTCCAAATGTTCGAGTGTACTGTCTCCCTTTCTCTTTCCTCTTACCCCAATGAGCAACCAGTCGTCAACAATTCCCCCTTTTCCACAGCTGAATCGGTCAAGTAATTAGGCGTTACAATCAGCGCCAATTACCAGTGGTCCTTTCATATTCCTGACTACGTAAAATAACTAGATAGAATGACTGTTCAAATTCAAAGAGTGAAGTAGTTCAGTACCGCAGGATCTGTTAGCGTTTGGTCCGTCGTTTTTTTCTCCCAGTCCTACTCCACTTTCTCGTATTCTGTCCTAGGCTTATTAAAAGGATTGTATCACACCACACAGTGGAGTAGTTAGCAACTGTCGTTTTTCTCTGATTCTCGTGGGCTCTATTATCTCAAACGTCTGTCGCTTACACGTTATAGCCTGTGAAAATTCTACAAGATTCTTGCAAACCCCACCCATCACCTGTGTCATGACATATCTTCATGCATTCTGCATCCCTTCACACGTTCTGTATTTAGACTCATCATTTTAGCATAAATTCCTTTCGCAATTCTACAGTGCCTTAGTTAGCGCGTTTTCTGATTACCGACATGACAATCACGGAGGAACTTCGCAGGAACCTTGATAGCTGTGCCAGCTTTTTTCTTCAGCATTTATGATAACATTAAAACGAAGATAATCCATCATTACTTCCATTTATTATAAAAACGTTCGATGTTTCATGAAATGATTCATGACCAGCAAAAGTCTATCGGTTGAGGGAGCGTCCGGCAGTGGTAAGCTTCGAACCCAGGACGTAACGGTATGAACTCCAAAATGAAACCAGTTTGACTATCGCCGATTAATTTTATGATTACCACGAGCTCTGGAACGGTGTCTTTTTAGCTCTTTGCAATTAAGTTTATTTAATGTGTGCTCATGCCATATAAAGAATACAGGCCTGAGGTAGCAGTGACAACATCCCTTTTTGTTACAATTCTACTAGAAAGAATTGGAAGACACACTAAAACAGCTGAGAAAGATGGCTTTAGGAATGTAAACCTTTGGACAATATTGAACACGAGCCCTCAAACGATAACTTTAAATAAAGCAAGGTATTTAGATAAAAGATGCTCTGGGCAAGCAATAACTCACAAGGAATTACATATGTGAGTGGTAAACACCAGCCTAATTGTCTTTTGGGACATGGAAAGCGAGTAAATTATAGGATTTGTTTGATGTACCGTGCACCTGAGAGACCAGAATGTGCAAATATACTATTGCAAGTCCGGATGTCTCAATGAATTTGGTGTTTTAGGCAAGCAATCGGGATATTTAGAAAAGAAATAGGTTGGTAGCCGATATTGTGGGTTTTTATGGCTAAAGTCGTTCTCATTTAAACTTTCTCCTATAGTTTTCCTTTCGCTCTCTCAACAAGTCCCATAATTATTTTACAGTTGTGTATCCAGACGGAACAACTACTGTGACACTGAGTAGTGATTTATTCTCCCCCAATTATTCGAAGTCGGGCCAAGTGAGAATCTAACTGTCTCTATTTGAATTAGCCTTTGTTCTCAAGTGGTACCAAATCGAGGTTCCAACCGTTTTTGTAGTACTTCTGAATACTTTTTGGAATCTTATTTACAAGAGTAATTTTGGTAAAACGGACTGATTATTTCCGGTGAACTACATTTATCAATATTATTGTGAGAGTGAACGCTCAGCTCACCTCCGAAAACCTTGGAAGCACTGCGCAACGGTTTCGTCATTGTTAGGGATTAATAGCAGGCATTTAGAGCCAGATGTGGAAGTATAGTGTATAAGTTCAATAAACCCTTTTTAGCCGTCTCTGATGATCTGTGGCTAAGGTGTTCGGCTCACAGTCGTCCGCCCCAGATTCGAGTCCCAACGGGGATCTGTGAATGCTCTTACTGACATAAAACAGCTGCGTAGCGCTTCCACGGTTTTCAATGATAAGTAAGCTCTCAAACTATATGAGGATTTATACGTAAAACCTGGTCTCCCACAGCTTACATTGGTATCATTGTCCTTTGTTGGTAAACACATCACAAACAACATCGTTTCCGACTGTATTCTGTCGGAATAGGCAAGCAAGAATGGTTATTTACAATGAGGCTTTGGTATTTTGATGTTTTTTTGTTTTTAGATTAAAAGCTTGTTAGTGCAACGTGGAAACTCTGCTAAACAAATCTAACGTTTCTACTGAACCGTTTGGTCAGATATTTACTTCAAATTATTTAACAGTGACTAACATAGAAGTGGATTCCAATTTAATGTGTCAGAACCCAGATCGGTTCGGAGTGTATCGAAAAATCGATGCGCCATGTGAAATGTTATGGTAGAATTTTATTGCTCAATAACACAGCCTAGTCGAAATCGTTGGTAGGTTGTCGACGTTTCGGTCACCATGGATAACCTTTTTCAAGACTGGTTTTACAACCGAATAAAACTAGTCTTGAGAAAGGTTACTCGTGGTGACCAAAACGTCGACAACCTACCAACGATTTCGACTAGGCTGTGTTATTGAGCAATAAAATTCTACCGATTCCACTTTATTGCCGTTTTTCACTGAGAAAATAGATAATATATTCTTTCTAGGATCATCTCCACTTAGATTTACCAGACCTGTCTCCGTTGATTTAATACTACCTGCAGAAAAATGAACGTATTCCAGCTGTAATAAAGCTGAATCTATTGCCGGTCAGTTTCACAACGAATTGCAGCAAAAACCTAAGGTAAGGTGTGAATGATTCTAATCGAAAAGTGAACGGCGTTAGTGATGTAGTAAAGATCAATGCTGATTTTCATTTTAATGAAGCGAGAGTTTCTTTTGCGATCACAAAGTTGAAAAAAACGCGCCGCATCAAGGTTGGCTTTGCGGAGAAAGAATAAAATCCTGCTTTTTTGGGACATTTTTGCCCAAGATTGAGCTGACTAGCTCTGGTTCTGTTACGTAGACATACTAAAATATAATATTTAAACAGTGTGTCTCTACGGAAGATTAGCAGCATGAGACTGGATAAATGTGACTGATGTCGTATATATAGTATCTTATCGGTTCGAAAACATAAATTTAAAAATCCAGGGTTTTTGAAACAACAAACTGAGGAAGTGTACCGTATTCAGTATTTATCGTTTGGGGATTAATGTTAAGTTGGTTTTTGTAGGTAAGAAAACAGGCATTTATCTTATAGGAGCCAAAATAGTTTGGAGATTATCGGAAAAACCAAGCGCCACTTGATGTCCTTTGAAGGCGTTTGCTGTCCGGTAACACGTAGTTGTTGGAGAAGACGGTAGTCAGTCAGAATTTTGGTTATTGCGGGCAACCTTTCCGAAGGTCGATTTTGATTGTGCATAGTTATTGAGAATGGTTACTCGCTTACGTGTGATGTGCGTAACATCACCTCTGCTCACGTATTGCTACCAACAAAAACCGTGTTCATCTCCCATTGGGTCAGTAAATTCAGGAATTATCCTCTATGATGAAATCCGGATTGGGAAATTTTGCGGATGTTTAATTGATTCATAATCCATATTCCTATCAAACATACTGGTATATTCAGTTGTCAAGCACTAGTTGGTTCACAGGGAAATGTTTTCCTGCTGTGGTCAGTCCAAGCATAAATTTACTTTGACGAAAGTCCTATGCAAAGTCTGACCTCGTAACTCAGTCCTTTGAGAACAGGTGGTAGTAAATCCTGTGATCGATGAAATTTAATCGTTGACTGCATAAATACCTACCCTCCAGTTGAAAAGCGTAAAACATACAAAGTTAGAGCAGAATGGCTGACTTCCACATTTGACCACCATTTTCCGAAGCAACCGCTGGACGGAGCGGCCATCCCTTATTCCTTATTCACAAAGATCATTTCGTCACTGCAAAGTCGTTTGCTCTTCCACGAAAAGTTAACAACCATCCATCAATTTAACCAGCTTTTATCTCTCTTTAAACCAAAGGTGGTTATTTTTGAAAAGAATCACGGTATCATACTCTTTGAAGCGAGAGGACTGGGTACCGCAGAATAGAATATCAACTGTCAGGCGGGTATGGTCCAATTCCACATTAGATTGATAACAGATTTCTATGGTTCGCTTGAATTCATTAGTTGTTTTCATAGTCAACGAGTGTTGGCGCATACTTGATTGTTTCATGTATGCCACACGTGACTCCGTCGTTCGTATTGTCTTTATAGGTCTATTTCTATTCCATATTCGAACGTAAAAGTGTGATCAAGTCATGCTTGTTTTTGATATTACTTTTGAATTAGTTATGAGTGGAAAAATATTGTCTCGGTCAAATCTCTTCAAGCTTCTGAATTATGAAATTGCAATCAAAAAAGGTTTTTACAGTGCCACCGCAACAGGCACCAGTAAAATAAAAAATATAACTAGAGTTAATTTAAAGCAGTCGGCTTTGTGACTAATTATTGCCGTATTTCCGTTTACCAGTAAAATGAACTCAACTTACGGATGCTTTTCTTTGAATGATGGTTTGATTTTGATGGTTCAGGAAAGAATTACCGCAAATACTCTCTGTTGCAAGCCTTCCGCCTATCACGGCTGTTTGATGTAAGTTGAGCGTAGATTTTGAATCTGACGTTTGCATTTTATGATTTCGATATTTTTTCATTAACCACGTCCACCTTTTGGCAAATTTCATTGAAGTGTTATTTGTGGTTGTTGTGTTTTGTGTCGACTGTGTATGCTTGTCCATACCGGAATAAAAACTTCTGATATTGAGCTTTAACAATCCAGAGGAGAGCTGAGTTTTCAAATTGAGATTTTTCGGTACGTCACAATCTTTGTCACCCGTTGAAGGTACGCTTATTTTACTCACATTGTGCACTGTCTGTGTTTTAGGCAAATTTGAGTTGGCTGTCCACGCCGATTTCGCATTCTTGTTTTCTGTTTCGTATTCCAACTCTTCCGGACATGATTGACGCTTTGGTTGATGCAACACGTCAGATTCAGCGGTTTGCAAACAACTTTCAGATTTCGTAGCACCATTACTTTGCATCGCAACGTGAATAACAGTGAAGCAGACCAGTTTAGTTAGTATTCCACAGGGCAGCAACGCGATGATAGAAAGTGTGTTTTAGCCACAAGGTTGAAGCGTCAGATGACTTGTAGTTGTGAACTACGTGGATATGGATTCCATTTAAATCTATCCCAACCAATCGTAAAGATCCGTAAAACTTCCACACACAGCTATGCTCTGATTGGTTCAACAAACCTGGGAACCGATAGGTCATTTTGGTGATTCCATATTAAAGTTGCGAACTAAAAGGCATAACAATAAAGAAGACGTAACACTTTACTCAAAAATGATGACCTAACACTGAAGTTTAACAAAGGCGAATAGTGAACCACGGAGATGTGCGAGCAAGGCATTTTTGGGGAAATATTTTACAACGAAGGTGTTTGTTTTGTTCAAGCTACTGTATTATCATAAAATGTTATTGTCTACAAAACTTTATTGTTCAGTACCTTAGTGTGTGATTTATGATACCAAAATGAAACGCAAAAGTCTATCTATTCGGAACGGTTTTTTCCAAATTTTTCCAGGAAACTAACTTTCGTCCTTTAAGCTAGATATTCGCGAATTGTGGTGGAAATTCTGTGAACTCGGCTGTCGCCATCCGGATTGATCGAAAAACAATGGATTTCTATTTCAGTATTTGATTTGAAAAGTCACAATAACTTCAGAGATAAAATCCCCAGGTGTCCTGTCAAAAATGTCATTTCTGCGGCATAATCGGATTAGATCTGCTAAGCTATCAAATATTTGATTTCCAGTGAACGACCGAAAGGAATAAAGAATGAATATTGATTGCAACTAATAGGCCATGAAGAAAAATATCATTTAAATCTGTTGCGTACGAAGAATGGAAAAATCTGCGCTGACACTTACTGTGATCATAAAACAGCGTATTCTATCTGATATAACCGTGCACAGCTTTCGTAGAACTGAGCCAAGTTACTCAAAATATGTTTGAATGAATACTCTTGGTAATAAGAAAACTGGTGACAAACATTTCCGTAACGGGAAACACTGTGGATAAAAGTTTGTTTGGTGAGTCCGCGTTAATAGTTTGCATAAAATGCAAATAAAATTATTATGAAAAATAAGAAAATATGCGTTATAGCACTACTGAAGGCTGCCTGACAAATCTAAAATTGTGTGACTGTGTGGGTTAAAATCTGAAAGATTTGCATAGGTTAGTTGAGGTACACAGTGCCTTGCTTTTTAAAGTTGAGTCATAAAGCTTGGATCATTTCAGCTTTCTTCTCGTGAAAAACTGAACAAAGATGAGTCGGAAAAAGGTTTCCTTTTGTGAAGACTTACTGACGAGAGTACTCATTGGCATATCGGATGTCAATAGCCAGCTTTTGTCTGCATGATCACGTTTAAATTTTTGTGACGAATTTGCTATCTGAGAAAGGGTATGTTCGGATCCACGCGTGAAGCAGGCTGCCAGAGGGAAGTGGGGTACAACTTGTCCGTTTTTTAGGCTTGAAGTATTTAAACTACACTCAAGCACAAGACTATCTAAGCTTGCCTCTTCTCAGTGTCGTGTTTGCTTTCTTCATACTACTGATAGCCTGATCAAATATTTTTGGAAAGAACTCCATACCCAAGCTCCGGTTTGAGCTTCGTATGATGCGCTGCCATTAGTGTGATGCATTCACCTACTAAACTTGAGAATAAACCTAAATTCTGACTAGGGATGGGAAGTTGTTTTGTTAGACTGGAAAGCTCTATGTATTCACATCTGCTTCTTAAATCTCGCATATTTTACTTTAGTTTAGGTAGTTAGATGAGATTGAGAATATGATATATAAAGAACAAATAATGCATACTATGTAATCTGTTATGTTTTCGTAGGTGGACCACCTCCGTAAAAACCTTGCAATGGAAACTAACACCTGGATCAGTGGGCGCAATTACGTGTGACGAGTTGTACCAGTGCTGGTGTATTGAGTAAGCTGTTGGTGTGTGTCGGATCCCTGTGAAGCACTTGCTGAGCCTTTGAGCTCAGGGAGTTTTCTGTAATTTTGTTGTTGTTTCCGATCGAACTCAAGCACACCCCGGCTTAAGAGCGGTGATCCTTGCGTACCACAAATTTTGCGACCCCGCTGGTGGGACCGAATAAAATGGGAGGCGATGATAACTGAATGGTTTTCAGGCGCAGTGGCCGAATATGCCATATGCAGGGATCAGTGTTCCCCCCGGGAGGAGGGGGGTTGCCTGCGTTCAATCTGAAAGAACAAAAATAGAAAGCCCATGAGCACAAAGGTTCAATAAATGCATCGCAGTGATCCTACACTCACAAATGCCGAACAAAAATATGACTACCAACAGCCTACTCGCTACACTATTGACGCGCTTGTAAATGCCAGTGTCTATTTTGCATTTCAAGTAATTGCATCCGGCAGTACTCTCAAGCTCAAAAGAGGATGTTGTACTGCATGACAGCCGAAATAACAGCAAATTTCTGAAAAACCGTGACCAAAATTTGTAACTGATATAACAAACTTTCCCTCTGTGATGCATCCAGCAGTTGTTTAGTTACCCTTATCCAGTAGACATATATATATATATATATGCACTGAATAAATTAATAAAACTTCATCTTGCGGGAACCACAAAATGAATACAAATAAGTTCATAAATATATCGTCTACCATTCCAAATATACCACGAAAATTGTTCCTACCAAAAACCCATCAGTTTTTGTTTACGTCTGGCTGAGTAACACTTCATTAGGAAATAAACATTTATTTTGCTCCTCGGATTTCCTACGCAAAGAGGGAGCTGGAAGAAGAGGGTCTCGATTCATCTCCTAGGAGGGAAATATTCACAAAGTTGTTAAGCTATGCAAAATCTAATTGAGCCATTGGACAACATATCCTATCGTTTGTTTCTGATTTACATGCCTATGGACTGTTAGGAATGTATTACCATAGCATGCATCTCACGATTGTCTGCCGGTGTGTGGAAGTATGCTTTCTGCAAGAAGATCGGCAAACAGGTCTGCATAGCCAGAATGAACAAATAACTTTAAATTTGTTCCAATATAATCTTGAGAGAGACGGGCTCGAAACCGTGGTGTGGAGTGGGGGTGACAAGGAGAGAAAGTGGCATCAACGATCAACTGTGCTCGTTCCATGGCATTCTCACTTTAAATTTAGGATAATCCTTACAGAATAGTTATATTTTAAGAGACATATTTACCAAGCTGGGAAAAGCCCGATGACAAAAGTGTAAATATCATAGATTTTTAGGCAAGGCAAACTCTAACATCTAATACAATCTCGCCTCATTCAAGCCAAAGTCCAGAGAGACTAGAAAAACAAAAGTTTGATAACCCATTAGGCTGTTTAGGTTTATAAAGACAGGACACACGTCAATGTGATCACGTAGTCAAATATGAATCAACGCAAAACAACGATGAATCTATCCCTAGACGAACTATTGGCGATTTCTGGACAAGCCGCCATGCCCCTATCTATCTTCATGTCGTCCGGTAATGACACATCCACTCCTCACTGATTGCCTAGTCTTTGGAATGCTAGCTAGATTAACACAAAACAGTTACACGTTTTGTAGAAAAGGCATGAAATCGCTTTTTACTGATTCCTACCTAAAGGGAGTGGATTCCTACGCTTCTTGGATGTCTTAACTCTCTCACTTTCAGAGACATAGGTTCATTATGAGTGCATAGTAAAGCTCACGTTCATTTCAGGTATTTTATTTACCTGTTTATAGAGCAAGATAGCGGGAACTGTGCATGGTACCAAATATCATCTGATACTAACCTTTCAAAAGTGAGTTCATTGGCAAGGTCCATATATGGTGACTTGTTACATTCTATATTGTGAACCATGTTTCATTTGCGACGGCTTTGGATAGCGTTTAAGCACTGGACAACAGCTCTACCTCCTAGATATCCGGTTGGGTGGTATTTAGACAACGCCAGCTGGAAAAGGAGCCACCTTGATAGTGAAACCTTATAACTATGCACAAGAACCAGAACTAGAGCAAAATGTCATGTGCTTTTGAGTACTAATATTTCAGTTCAATTCCTATGAAAAACCTAAGTGAAAGAGATTTTTCATAAGCAAAAAGGTCTACTGCATCACAGTAGTGAATTAGTAAATCAAACCTTCTTGAATATCTGATGAAGAACAGCCGAGGGCCGGGATAACTTTCGGGAGGCGTTTAGTTGACCTCTATTATGTAGTGCTTAACTATCCATTTCCCCTAACTTAAGAGTGATTTGCATTCCGTCTTGCGGGAATATTAAAATAGAAAAAATGTTGCTTCTCGATGTTTGTGCATGTGGGTATAAGTGGCCATTGATTTTGGCCGGAAAGATATACCTTTTTGTAATTCCTAAGAGGATATTGCACGAACCCTGAGGCTAAAGTGCCGAAGAAAAGCCAACCCACATGTTTCGCATTTCCTTCTGGAACAATGAGAAATACCCTCATTTGCAAATAGATGGTACCACCATTGCGATTTCCCTCATCTTCAGATATCAGACATTTTTATTAACTTGGCAAACAAGACTGAAAAATGCCTCAAATTGCCACAAATCAATACAGAGGCCAGATTTTCTTACATATTACGTGATTTTAAATCACACGAAAATGAACTCTACGCTGAAAAATTCATGTATGTGTACACCAGTAAAAATAATCCCTAATACCCCTGAGAGCAGGAAGAAAGTGCCTTACTGGCAGAACAGCAACTTCCATGAAAATATCGTCATTCTCTGATCGTTTATGGAGAGTGAACTACTCCCGTATAGTTTTGCAATAGAACTTTACGATCACAAATTTTTCCAAAACGTATACTACTGTCGCCAGTAAAATCAAGCAGATGTACCATTAGCAAAGGTGAAGCCGCTCTTTACTTTGAAAGCGGACGAAATGAGAGAAACGGACAACAGTTGCTCGTGGCTCCGTCGTAATTACGGGACAAATTTTATACCATCTTCAGTGTAACTTAAT